TCATTGGATTTATGTAGTAATCCGCTGCAAATATATCGCTTGACTCGTTTGTTACCGGTTTAAAATTTTAGGAAAATTTGTTTATCTACATTATATTAGAACATGGACAATGGTCCAAAAAGTCCTAAACCTATTGTACATCAATCAATTTAGTCATAAATCTTTCAATTATGCCAATTTTGTCTTAGACTTTTTGACAATTTATCAATTTAGTCCTAAACACTTCGTTGCGTCAATTTAGTCTTAAACCTTTTGAAGATTTGCCAACTTAGTTATAAACATATTACTTAGATATTTGGCCAGAATGGCTAAATTGACAAATCGTTAAAAAAGTTTATGACTAAATTGGCCAAATTGAAATATTTAATACTGAATTGGTATAAATACAATAGATGTAGGACTTTTTTTTGGTAATTATCCCCAAAACAATGCAAGACGAAATCGCTCATGTTCTCGCTATTCCGGTGCTCAACTCGTGCAATGCGTAATCAATCATTATTTAAGCAAAGTATTTGACTTGTGTATAAGATCCCCTTCGTCCTATGGACGTCGTAAACGGGCTCGAAAAAAACGTAGTCCCAAGATGTCGACGACGTACTTGCACACGCCACCTTCCGAGTCGGTGGCTCCTCGTTCGTTATTCACGATCTCTTTTAAGTCGATTCAATTACAATTTACAAACCAACGGAGTCGTCGGAGAATTCCGACTTTTGCTTTCTGAACTTCTGACGCGCTCCCCAAATTAAATTGAATTCAAGGTAGTTGAACCTCGTCTCACCAACTCGCCTTGGACCAGAAAACATGTATACAGTAATTCTCTCCTAACAACGTATTGCCCGGTTGGTCATTTTGCTCCCTTTTTCTGTGGGTATATTTTATCTTTTATTCATGCAATAGATGTGCACTTAATTTCGATGCATTTGCAGGTTTTTTTTTTTTTATAGGTTTTGCATGCCTTTCGTTCTTCGTTTGCATCCTCAAAGGGCGAGGGCTAGGGCTAGGGCGAGGCCCTACATAGTTATAATTTAGGAGTCGGAACGTTCAAAACCTACTAAAGTGGCGTGAGCCAATTGGTATTTTCATGTGTCCATGTCGAATGATTATTGTCTATTGAAATAATTACCACGTTACGATAGTTTCGTCATTGAGACGGCAAGTTAGCGTATTACCGCAATAACCCTATTAAATTAGATTTTAGTGGTGAATGCCAAATAGTTTCGCCAATAATATACGGACATTTTCGAGCCATGGCCGCCCTTTTGAGTTCAAAGCTCATCCAACTGAAGGCTCTATTTGTGTCGCGGAAAATGAATGATTTTAAAAATATTTTCCTAAAAATGATCATTTGTATAGCTTAAAAAAATCAGTTAGTAATTTTTTTTTCATTATCGACAACAATTAATTACAAAATATTCCAAATCATCCATTTTCTGTGAAACAAACGGACCCGAAGAGTCATGAAGTGGGTGTCATCCAATCACTTAGGACATAATAGTCCACTATGATAGTGAGATTAAAGGGAATGTATAAAATAATGTAAAACAACGGCGCGAAAGGGAGTACCAAAACTACTAGCCTAGGCTTCGACCGGACATAAAAATACATAATAAGAGAGGCGAGTTGGACTCAGAATCTCCTTTTCAGATGTCGCACGAAATTTTTTATCGGAGCACCATCAATTAATCTGTAAATTTAAATTATTAAACGAAAGCGTGATCCGATATTAAAATGCTTTTAACGACCTTTTAAATCTTACCCCATCGTAAATTATAGGTTCCTTTTGTTAGATGGAAAGTGACAAATTCGTTCGTCCTCATTTCTTCTCGTTCTTGTGCTTCCTTTTAAAGCATGAAATCAACGCTAACTCCATGATGATCGTAGACCGAATCAATGCTCGATACGAATATAATTACTACTTGATCATAAAGATGGATGGCCATATCTTCGCAATCTCAATTTAATATGGGAAGAGATGCTTCTGCTTCTTAGCATCATATACATTAATCAGCTTCGTGATCAAGTGCTATGAACAGAATCTAATCGCACGACCGGTGTCCGTACATTCGCAAAGCTGCGTATCAACCAAAGATCTACTAAGGCCCCGTTTATTTTGCGGAAAATGAACGGTTTGGAAAATATTTCCCTAAAAACGGTCGCTTGTATCACTTCAAATAGTTAGCCGACGAAGAATGCTTTAATTATCGACAACAATTTATGCGTAAAGATTTTCATGGACAATGAAATTTTTTTTCGTTCATTCATTTTGTAAGCGATATGAACTATTAATTTTAGGATAACGTTTTTCAAAATATTCACTTTTCACGAAACAAACAGGGCTTAAATCAATATTTAGCTTTTATCGAATCAAATTGTAGAGGCAAGTGTTAGTTTCTCGACCTATCAGCCACTTGAATATTTCCCTTTACCTTTACATTATACCTATGACTTGTAATTTTGATACCAATCAGGTGAAAAATATAGAAGCTAAGAAATTTTTTTTTTATTGAGAACTTTTTTCGCATGAAATTTGCGATGCTCGAATCATCGACTTGACAATGAAATTATCGTGTTTCGCATGAACTTCACGGATGAAAGCCCGACACGTCACATATGCTGGACAACATACTGTCGACTTTGTCTCGATAACCTTAGTGATTTTTTTTAATCAACCTCGACCCCGAGTTATTATCGTAATCGGGATCGATAATCGATGGCATCAATTCTCATCAACTTTCGGCTTTTCGACAATGAAGTCGGATTGCGCCGATAGAACTAAATAAAAAAAAAATATTGCTAAATAAATGAACAAAGCAAAGAGAAAAGAAAAAAAAAATCATTTGCTAAATCCACTTTTATTTATTCTCCACGAAGGGGGATCGAATTTGTGCCCTCCCAAAAACCAAAAATCAAATCCGATCCGATCCGATCCGAACCGAGCCAAAACGACGACGAATGGGGAATGGGAACGTGTGGCTCCCACACAGCCAGCCGACCTCCAAAAGCATGGGATATGCTCCTCCTCACCATATGGAGCACATCCAACGCCTCACCCCACCGCACGTCACTCCCCACGTGTCGCGCGGGGGGGGGGTCCCCACGCTCCCCGCTACCTCACCGCCCCGTCACCTTACCGTCCTGCCCCGTCGCGATCCGAGACGCGGAGTCCCTGGTCCGTCGCAGACGGGGGGGGACCTCTTTGGTCACTCCTTGAATTCTCCGAATTTTTCTTTTCCTCTTTTTTTTCTTTTTTTTTTCTTTTCCTCTTTTGGTTTATCGTCACCGTCAAATGGAATGACGGTAATGATAAAAGAAGAAGAAGAAGAAGAAAATAATAACACAAATAGTCTTTTAATTTTGGTTCGATATGTAATGTAATCCATAAACTTTTAATTTGTTCGATTTAGCCCCTAAATTTTAACTTAATGTTCAATGTTCAATATGGTCATCGGACTTTTGGTATATGTTCATTGTAATTTACAAACTCTATGAAAGTGTTATATGTAGTGCATGAACTATATGAGAATATACAATATCGTCCATGAACTTGAATTAATGAACTGACTACATTGAACATTTTCGTATAGTTCAAGGATTACAATGAACATGTATCAAGAGTCCTGTGATGGCATTGAACGAATCAAAGGTTTATGGATTACATTAAATATTAGGCTAAAGTTCATAGATCATATTGAACAAATAAAAAGTTTATGGATCACATTGCATATCGGGCCGAAGTTCGGGAATTGTTTATGTCGTTTTCTCTGAAAAGATAAATAAAATAGTAAAGGAGAGAAAAAGGGAGGAGAAAATGAGTTTCTTTTCACCAAAATCTCTCTTCGCGTGCTCCTAACACCCACCACTTAACTTTGTCCCCCAAATTGGACTACTAGTATCTCAAAATTCCACGAGATCATCATTAATTACATTTCCAAAATGGCATGAAAAGTGAAACCTTTTCGAATGAGGACATTTAATTATTGTAAAGGGTATTTTGGCAACTAGCGTATCCGGAGCTCCCGGTAATTATACTTAATAAGGAAATGTTTTTAGTTTGCATATCATTTATTTCAAATCACCCGTACGTTGGAAATGAATCCCCTGCTGTAAATCTGCCGAAGCAGGCATGTTACTTAGTGCCCTGGATTCCTGTTTACCCATATCACGCACCGTAAAAAAGATGATTTAACGGCAACCATAACTCGCGCGGATCCTATGATACGATACATTCCACGACCACGCCGACGAGCATCACGAGCAAGTTCAGGGTGATCCAACTAGGACTTACTCTTTTTGGTCCCGCCCATCTTTTCTGGCTCTAAAGATGGTTACTTCCGCTCCGTAACGTTAAGTACCATCGAACCCCTCTCTGGACCCAAAAAAAGAAAGAGCGTCGCTTCAAAGCGATCGGGAAAGCAAAAGCGCGCTCGCTATCGCGATCATCATACCTAACCGTCGCCCGACGGGTGCTTCATCGTGGACAAGATCGCGCTATTTATATCAAGATTAAGAACGTTTGTTCTATGTCAATTTGTTTTTTTTTTTTTTTGGGGCCCATAATTTCTTCTCCCGGGAAATAATTTTTTCTTTTTTTTTGTTTTTGCCTAGGTTGAAAAAACGAGTCACCCGCTATTAATAAACGACGGACGGAGGAAAAGAAAAGAAAAAAACTCATTTTTCCTTCCACACAGAGGAAAAAACCACGAGAGCGAAGAAATTTCTCTCCCTGCCTTTCGCAGCACCTGGTATTTTGTGCCATTTCTTCGCCATTTTTCTTCCCCCCTTTTCCCCATTTCCCTTTCCTTTCTTTGTCTTTCGTGGGTCGGACCGAACGGGAAGAGAGATAGGAGCTGCAAGTCTCCCGATCATTCTCTCTCATCGATCCCCCCTCCTCTTCTTCTTGCAGTGTTTTGTTTTTTTTGGCACCCGGCGTTTTGCTCTGCTGCTTGGCCGGGGGCAGAAATCTCCCGGTGAACTTTTCCGGTGGGGGTGGGGGCGGAAAAGAGGTTTGCATTGCTTCTGGGTTTTAATCCAGGGACTCGCATCTGCCCCCCTCTGTTTCTTTGCCTTTCCTGGTTTCGTCGGATATCGATTCTTGGAATTCCTTTGGACCTTTCTTGATCGTCGGTCGAGCGCTGTATCCCTCGTCCGACGTATCGGTCTCGCTCATCGGCGATCGCCTTGGGCGCATCGGGGAAAAAGTCAAATTTCTAGACCCCCGAGCGTGAAATGATTTAAAGTCAAATTGCAGCTATTGGGTTGGGTTTTGGTCCTCCTTTTTTTTTTTTTTTTTAATGGGTCGCCTTTCCCGATCGATTGCCTGAATTTGGATTGTTGGGTATTCGTCTAATCATCGGACGGAACCGGCTTTTGGGATTTCTGGGTCTGCGTCTGCTTCTAAACTACGTTAGTGTTCCTGTTTACCCGATTGTTTGGTGAGCTGGGGAGAGAGGAATTCAAAGCTACCCCCTCGAAGTCGCTTCTGGGGTGTTTCGAAACCGCATGAAAATCGGATTTTGATAATCCCTGAGGACGTTTGAGCTTCCGGAATACTGACCCGAAGCTGTTCTTCCGGTTCTTGGCCTTGCGACGTTCGATTCTTGGCCGCCTGAGTTTGAGCCATGGCCATGAAGTCTGACTCTCTGGATTTTTGGAGGCATTACTTTAGGACCGCTAGCTGCGATATATTCGATATCATCGACCGCGCGATCATGGTGGCGGCCTCAGATTGCCCGAAGGAGTTCAGATTGAGGAGGGATCGCATCGCGGAGAGGCTGTTCACGTGCCGGTTGACCCGGTGTTCGGGCTGCGAGCGGGTCGAGTTGGTGGTGCCGGGTGGGGATGAGGATGATGGGTTGGAGGGTGGGATTGCTGGGGAGGGGTGTGACTTTGAGGCTGGTGGGAGCAAAGAGAGCAAAGTGAATAGCAGTAGGGATGATCATGGTGAGTTGTTCATGAACCAAGAGAGCAATTACAGCTACGGAGAGGCTGAGGCACTCACCGATGTAATGGAAGAGGAGTCTCAAATTCTTGCAGAGGTCCTGAGAATCAAAGAGATTTTGCTCAACAGTGATGAGGAGGTAAAACCTCTCTCCAGATTATCTTTGCAATGGGCTGATTGTTAGCATTCTGGGAATTGCATGATTCCTTTTTGTCATCTCAATCTGACACACTTGCTTTGACGACATAACAGTCTGGATCAGCGCTTTACGAATCGTTGAGGCGGCTCCAATTGATGGCTCTAACTGTGGCTATATTGAAGGTTTGGTTCATTGGCTTTTGTCCTGAATTCTATGCAGTTCAAAGGCTTGTTATGCTTAGTTACTCCTTTTCCGGCTCTCCTGGGCAAGTTTATGAGGTGTTAACATTGTTGGTTCTATGCAGACAACTGGGATTGGGAAAGCTGTTAATCCTCTAAGGAAGCACAGGTCAAAGGAGATCAGTCGCCTTTCTCAGACTCTTATTATGTAAGATTCTTGTTGAAAAAGAACATGAATTGGAATCTTTTGACAGAATTGAAATTTGTTTTCCCTTCCTTGCGATGCATTCATTATGTTTTGATTTAGCTCTTGACGAGTCTGGTAACTGACTCGTGTTTTCAGAATTTGTACGTGTGCTAATAATTGCTTTATCCTTTAGTGCTTCTTATCAGTGGCTTCTGTTTAGATAAGTTTGGCTTTGTCAATAGCTTTGTTCTATTTATGTTGATCATGCCTTTTGAGACAGAAGTTAGGAGATAAATAGTTGTCACAAGACAATAGCTGGTAATCCAAATTCTAGTGACTCAGTAATGGAAGAACCGAGCATTCATGGCTGGTAAATGGTGAATGTCTCTACCAATAGTTTTCCGAAATGACGGCCTTCAGTTTTATTGGCATTGATATCATTCCTTTTCTGTATTCCTATTGGATTGTATCAAAGTGGTATTGATTCTCATTTGCAAGACCAATTTTTCGATTATTTATTTTTTGTTGCAGGGCGTGGAAGACTATGGTGGACGAGTGGATGCAGGCTGCGCCGCCTGCTGGTACGGCTTTGCTTCCTACTTTCTGATTGCTAAGAAAAGATATGCTAGTTTTTCACGTCCCTTGCACGGGTTCTAAGTCCTCATTTATTTTGTGAGAGCAGGGGGTACCCCTGATTCTGTGAACCCGTCAAGCGATGATGAAGAAGAGGAAGAGGAAGAGGAAGAAGGACTTCCTTCTCCGCCTTTGGATGAGGGAGCGTTTTTCACTCCTCAAACTTCTACAATGGAGCTATCTCGGGTAAAAATGTCTTCCCGTATACTAGAGGCTTTTTTATTTGTGGAAGTTCATTGCATCTGAACTTATTAGCTCTGCTTCTTTGCATGTCCGGTGCTTGTTCTTTTGTGCAGTTCTTCGATGGCATGGATGACGACGGAAGTGAGTAGAATTTTATTCACTCTATTGCTACTTGGTTCTTTCGTTGGATCTTTTCTTAGATTAATTTCTGTATAAATGCTTAATTTTCCAGATCCTCGCACTGGCGGAGAATCTGCCAAGAACCGTGAAAACGGAAGAAAGCCGTCCCAAGAGAAGCAAAATGTGAGCGAGCAACGAAGAGAGAGAAAGCCAGACAGCGTGAAAGACAGTCTCAAAGATAACAGGAGTCAACATTTGAAGAAGCGAGAAGACGTTATGAAGCCAAATAGACCCCTAAACACTAATGCTGGGCAGGCTAGACATACAAATCTCAATGCAGAGCAAAAGGTCAACAAAGAGTCCAAGCTCCAGCCGAGAAGATTGGAGAAGGCTTCTGCACAGAGGAGAATGGTCGGTAATCAGAAAGATGTAAGGATGCGTCTCAAGGTTTTGAAGTCTGTTGCTTATAAAAAGCATTGTCTGATGTCATTGTTGTTTCCTTGTCTCTTAGGACGCCAAGTATTCAGAAGAAGATGCAGTCCAAATGAAACTTGAAGCTACGAAGAGGAAGCTCCAGGAAAGTTATCAACAGGCTGAGAACGGTATGCGTCCTTGATTTATGTTTTCATTTTGTGGTTTTTGGTTAAATCCTGCATCCAACTTATGAATTTGAGAGAGGGAACTTTTAATTGTGCGGGCGGCAACGGTTGGAGGCGCGTCATTAAATTTTGATCTCAGTATTTAAAATAAATTTTCTCTTGTTCGGCCTTATCTGGAATTAATTGCGCCACTTTCTTTCCTGAACAGCCAAGAAGCAGCGGACTATACAGGTAATGGATTTGCATGATCTCCCGAAACAGTCACTTGGCCATAGAAATCTACACATGAGACCTGGGAATCAGAACAGGCATTGGGCAAATGGATGGCGCTAGTTTGAAATTTTTCCGCTCATCGTGCTGGAGAGCCTTTGCAAGTACTTTCCGTCATGAAAGCTAGTGAGAGATGACCGCTAACGACACCTGATTGATCATGTTGTTGATCATCGAATGCTGCTGATCGAGCTTTCACGCAGCGCAAGTCTCAAGAAAGCTTTGGGATTCCTTGGTTCAATATGACATTCCTTGAGGTACTTAGAATTAGGATTTTACCTTTACGGGTTTCCATCAGAATTGGGAGGTGTATCTGACTTTTCCGGTAATTGGTTGGATCGTGACCAGAAAGACGATTGTAGAGAACTCTAATTTACGTCATCCCGGTCGACATGTATATCTACTGGTCTCAAACATTTGTTCTCGATTTTCTTCTCAAGATGGGGAGAGCATCGATCGTGCCTTTTGAGCCGGCATGCATAGAGAGCTTTGCATAGAATAAATCCAAATTGGAGGATAACGTATGAGTTGTGAACTTCTGTTTATTGCCCATGTTCCATGACAAGTTTGGACATTCTTGATATGCAGTTACATCGCTTTTACCTCATCTTTTCTGTCTGTGCACTACTCTTATTTCTCTTGATACCAACAAGATGATTTGTGACCTTGACCTTTTAGTTTTCTTGTGAAAGAAGGAACCGACCCATGTTTGCTTATTTTCAAAGAAAACCAAGAAAATTTGTTAGGCAAAAAAAAGAACACCAGAGATGGATTGATTCCGATGCAGTTTCAAGGTCCTACGTAAACGTTCGCAAAGAAGATGGTCGGGGAGGCTCTGGATTGTCGAAACACGTGCAGCGATCTTCGCCGGCTGTGTCGACCTTTTTCCCTCTCTCCGTTTCATATTCCTCCACTTTGACGCCTTCCTCAAGTCCAACGACGCGTCGCTTGGTTAGGTGGCTTGTGCAAATGGATGATAATGACTATATTACAATATGCACCAAATCAGCATCCAATCTTGGGGACAGTTACAAATCAACACCTCCTTTTGAAATTGACGTGTTTCGCTTTGCATGCTTTACCGTTCTTGTCCATGGATCTGGTGAGTTAATCTTACTAATCTTTGAAACGATTTTGTCGTGAAATTTAATCATCCAATTAAAGGATGTGGGATTAGGTCCTAAGCAAGACCTCAAAAGGCTTCATTCTCAGTCTCGTCCGGACCTCGAGATCCCCAAAGCAATCAAAGGGTATTTCTTTTTCTTAGGAAAGACAGAAATATGGGAGAATTGGGGGAAGACAGAGCGTGCAGATCCCGTCACAGTAAAATAAGATGTGTATCTATGGAACTAGCCCCAATTGGAGGGGACAGGCCGCGGAAGCCTCTACTTGGAGTCGCAAGAATCCCTTTTCTTGGTGAGTTTACCTATTAACTAAACGATATTCTTTACATGCTTTATCGTTCTTGTCTTATCGACCTTGTGAGCTCATCTTACTAATTTTCTAAATGATTTTTGTTGTGGAATTCAATCACCCGATTAAATAATGTCCGATCCATCTTCTTCGTTTTCATTCTCATTCTAATGATTCAAGAATTGGAAAAACTATCTTCATGCCCTTGACTAGGGAAGAAAGTTAAATGAAACTGAGCACTACTTCTGGTTCCTGTCAATCCTGCTCTTGCAAAGTGATGTGGACTTTGCCACGCGTTCTCCTCATCTGTTGCCTCAGCTCCCAACAACACACTCCAAGATTTCGATGTGCTGTAGGTTCAATCACCCATTTATTGCAGTTGATGTTGCCGTGTGAAATGCTGAATTTTGAGGGGTAGGCCGCTATTTGAGTTGCGAGAAAGAGAGAGAGAGAGAGAGAGAGAGAGTTTAATTTAGATGACGGTGGGCATGGGACCCCAAAACCCTTCTTTTGGTAGATGAATTGGAAATGGGGTTCAGCATGTGTCTCTCACTTGGTACTCGAGCGTCAGAGAGGACCCCTCAGTTTGAAAAAAACGAAAATCGTGCAAAGTTTATAGAGCACGGCGCCACGATTTGATATCACCGGATCGATTAACCAATACAACCAATTTCGAGTACACGCGCATTAAGTTCAAATAAAAATAGTTATCGATCGATAAGATCACGGCATCGGAGAATGTCATTGGTTTGCATCATTGCATTGCAAACTTCCCGAGATCGGTGGTGGGCCCCGAAAGTTTAGAGAAGAGGGGGACGGGGGAGGAGGGGGCATTGAAATACGAGAACTTTCACGGGACATTTCACGGATCAAAGCGCATTTCGTGCGTACTTAAAAAAAAACCAAGCATACCGAATGCCAGACGGCGCACGAGGCGGCGCCCCTCACCAGCTCCCCGCCCCCCCTCGGCCCATCACCGCCGCGAATCCTCCATCTGAAGAAAGGGAGGGAGAGAGAAAGTAAAGCAAAGCGAGAAAGTCAGTGTCTCTCTAGTGTCTAACCCGATTGGGATGGACCGCCGCGAAAGTGAAGGTGACGTAAGGGATGGCGTGCATGGGGGTCCAGTTTTGACCGATCCAGGTGGGGCTGGGGCATCGTGGAAGAGGTGGGCTGTAGTAAATCCCCCACAAAGGCACATGCACTTCCATCCACGTGTGCTCCTCTGCCTTTCGATTCCTCCCCTCCTCGTCCCCCCCACGTCAAAAACAAAGGGTCAAAGAAGAAGAACCTCCAAAAGCTTTAATTCTTTCTCCGGTGCTTCCTCCTTTGCCTTTTTTGCTTTTCCCCTCCCCCTCCTTCCTTCTTCCTTCCTTCCTTCTTCCCCCTTTCTTCTTCTCCTTTCATTTCCTTTGCCGTTTTTTCCGTCTCCTTTGGCTCTCTTTTGCTGCCTGCCCTTTTTGACCGCCCCCCCTTAAAGGAACTTTTTCGACCCGCTTCCTTTCTTCTTTTTCTTTGGGGGCTTTGTTTGGTTGTTCGTTTGTTTGTTTCTTTTTTTTTTTGGTACCCTTTTCTCCTATTTAAATTTCTTGTCTTTGTGCTTGGTGTGTTCAATCGGTCAAGGCCTTTGTTCTATGGCCCGTTTTATTAAGTTAAAAATAAGTTATAGTCCGATAACAGATTCGATCCGTTAATACCGGTGTTAACCCTTGGTTTTGCTACCGTAAGCGTCATTGGAGTTTTTCTTCGTTTATTTGGTTGTGTTAAAGTGATTCTATCTCTTTTCCGTCGAAGTTTAAAATACTAATCAAAATTTCGAAGAAGGATGGAATAATTATACGTGAATTTACGTGTCGATTTTTGCATTTTTGGAAAGTTTGGAGCGTTTCGATCTTTGTAAAAGTTAAAGCTTGTGAGCCATAAGATCTTGGTTAATCATAAAGTAGAACAAGCCCTTCAATTTCTTTGTTTAAGTAAGAAAGATAAGATTAGTGCTCCTCGCCACGTCAAATCTGAAGATTCAATTTCGGAATTACTTGTGAGCAATGCAAGTTCTGAGCAAATCTAGTCATACATACATACATAAATAAATAAATAAATAAAGTTCTCGATAGTCCTGATTTTTAGAGTGGGGTTCGGTGGACGACAATTGATATTCCAAATATGCTCGTAGAGGCTAAAGACGATTCCATTGGAACCTAATCGTTACCCTTTCCGGCAATCGTCATCGGCCAAAATAGTGGCCGCAATTTTCGTTCGAGACACTGATCGTGCATAACATTAAGGCAATTAATGCACTGAAAATTATAAATTTCCTTAATTTGTCATTTATCAAGTATCTCCGAGACGCTCGTTAAGTAAGAGGTTCTGTCAAGTCTCGCTCCCTCCAGAGTCCTAAGCCTATCGGGAGCCGTACCTTATCCGAGCCCTCTAACTTCGGTGATCAGTTCCGGCCCTCGTGGGTTTGGGTATGTGAATTACATAGTGTTATGATAGGCGGCGGTTGCTTTGTCGAGAATATGTGTACGGTGCGTTCATTTTACGACCCTAGTCCATCAATCCTTATACGTGTTTTGACGTGAACCGTCGCTGCCGAGATTCGTTGCATAATGTAGTTTCTGTCGTATCGGATCCGTCAAGTTGAGGTACTGTCGAATTTCTTACTCAGTGAATGGTCCGCCTATTCAATGTGGGGGCTAACCCACTTGCAGTATTCGCACATTTTTTAGTACCTTGGAAATGTGGAGTTCAAGTTATCAGGACGGGCAGCGAAAGCGTGTTTTCTTTGCGAATTCTGATGCATGTTATGATATTTTTGGTCGGCCGATGCATATTATTTAGGAGGTGGAATTAATGCTTCGGGGATTGTTCTAGTACAAGAATGAGTTGTCATATTATCCGAGGAATTGTGGTTAATACCACAAAGAACCCCAAACTAGTACATCCATGATAAATTTACCCCGAATTAATTTTTTGACTATCAAAAACCCCAAACTTGTGCACTTATGACAAATTTACCCTCCGTTAGATTGGATCGATATCACGAAAAATCACAAATTGGTAAACCCGTGACAAACGGAGGGGTAAAACCCCAAATTGGTACACCAATCAACTGCCACGTGTCATCCAACTTAATAATTCGACGGTAAGATTTAACGAAAACTAACGGATAGGTAAATTTGTCACGTGTACTGGTTTGGGATTTGTCGTAATATTAACCCAAGGAATTAAAGGGCCTTGTTTATTTTTTTAGGGTAAATACAAAAAAAAAATCTCAAATTATGTCTACTATAACATAAAATACCTTAAAATTTTTATTTTTGTGTTACCAAAAACCCTAAACTTTCTTGTCGTGATAGAAATAACCCAACATTTTTTTTTGCGTTACAAAAAAATCTAAACTTATACATGCATGACTTTTATAGTTTCATTCGGGGTATATTTGTTACATTGATATAAGTTCGGAGGTTTTTTATGACACAAAAAAAAATTGGGGTATTTTTGTCACAATGGGCAAGTTTAGGGTTTTTTGTAACACAAAGAAAGTTTGCGATATTTATGTCACAGTAAACATAATTTAAGATTTTTTATGGTATTAACCCTTCTTCTTTTATTATCATTTGTCATAATTAGTGATTGGGTACTCGGTGTATTATAGATTTTTAATCACATAAAGTGTGACATCACATATACAAACGCCACACAATACAATGTGGACATATGGCCAAAGACAAAGCCGTTGACATATTACAATTCGATTCGATAAGAATGCATGAACTAATAATGGTCTTTCACTATCCATAATGCGAGCAAAGCTAGGGTGTCATGTCGCCTAAAAAGACGAGGGGAAAGAAGAAAAAGAGTTCACTTTGCGATCCATCTAGCAAAAAGATCATCCCACGGGTCATGAAAGTGTTCCCCATCATCCTAGCTTGCATTGGCTAATTGCTAAGTGGAACGAAAAGGAGATCCAATCCAAGGATAAGGGTCTTTTTCCCGCCAGCTCATGCTCACTACGAATCCAAAATTGATTGGATCTTCCATGCCATGTGTCGTCGAATTAACCTTTCGTATCCATGGGGATAGTTGCTTAAAAAGTCTTAAACCTATTATATAACAGTCAATTCAGTCCTAAACTTTTCGATATAGCCAGTTTATTCCTAAACCTTTTGATAATTTGTCAATATAGT